TATTTAACTAGTTATTAAAAAATAATATTAAAAAAATAATTTTATACTTCTAACCAATATGTTCACTCTACCTTACAGGCAAAGGCCGTATGGGTATATTCAACGCCGACCTGAGCGCCACTACGGTTGACATCGAGGCCGGAGACGTGGGTTACGTACCAAAGACAACGCCTCATTATGTGGAAAACACCGGTACAACCGACCTTGTGTTTCTAGAGGTGTTCCCCACCGACACATACCAAGGCGTATCGCTGGCCACGTGGTTGGCGCACACCCCTACCCGACTGGTCAACGAGCACCTGAACACTGGCGAGCGATTTTTAGCCGACATTCCCAAAACAAAAGCAGTGATTGAGCCCTGGAATCGAATGTGGTATCCCAGTTATGGCATCAATAAGCAATCGGGGTCGGAAACTGGATCTGAGCAAGATCAAATTAATTAGTTTATATACAATGAGCAAAATACTTATTTTTATTATAGTTTAAATTTGGGCTGTGCGCAATTAGAATACTGATCCCTGCCTGGTATGTTTGGAGTCACTTTAGTGTTGAAAAATATCATAATTTTAAGTTTGGGTTTCGTTTTGTTGCCAGTAATTTATAGTCTTATATTTCATTTTAATGCAATTTTCTGTGTTATTCTCAATATTTTACAAGCTAATTAAATATTATCTTTTAATAAATTACTGCTAACGAAACGAAACCCAAACTTAAAATTATGATATTTTCCAACACTAAAGTGACTCCAAACATACCAGGCAAGGGTCAGTCTCCTAGTTGCGCACAGCCCAAGTTTAAATTATAATAAATCATATTACATTATATTATATTTTAAATATTATATTCCCGATAGCTATACATGAATTTGTATTTTAATATTAACTATTTTAATGGATGTACATTGTAATGTAGATTCTAGTAAATAATAAACATTAAATTTCTTTGTTCACATTATTTATTAATTATTTTAAAAAATGATAAGAAATGTTATTTATAAAAGGTTTTAATATTTATTTTGACATTAAAACATAAAACAATTATTTACCTATTTTTACGTTACAGTTTAATGTGTAATAGTTCTAAAATTCGGATTTATTTTATATTAATTACTAAATTACTATTAAATATTAAATTTAAACATATTTATTTTATTAATTATTGTGACATTGATTTGTTCTGAATTTATTATAAGTATGTCAAACTCGTGTTTAAATATAAACACTAATGGTGTCATATTATGTACAGTAAATTTTTCTCATTTTATATTAAATAATAATTATCAAATATGTATGCTATTTATTATTTATAAATCAAATATAAGTTTGTGTTAGATGCGATTACTACAAAAAACATATTCCTTGTGCATTAATACTATTATTTTAAATAACTAACAAGAATTCAATCAACTGAAAATAACTAATTTTATTAATTTGTATAAGAAAATTCGGCATACTTTACACAAATTTATAATGGATCGTGCTATCATTCATAAATACATAGTTGAATTCATCATCCTATGGGTATTTGTGACAAAATGTGCCTGTGACAATTTAGCCCCGTTTATGAACGCGGCACTCGAGCGCCAGAACCCGTCGGCCAATCGGCCGCAGGTCACCGACGCCGGGAGTTCACCAAATTATAAATACCCGTTTGCTTTCTCGCGCACTACATATTATAGCGGTGGTTGGGTGCGACAGGTGTGAACACTACCAATTAATTATATTATAATATTAATAATTAATTATAAATTCAATGATCTCTCTATAAGAAACAACAATATTGAAAAAGGAATCTAACAAACGCGGTGGAAAATTTGAAAAATTTAATCCATCGCGTCCGAATTGTGGTTAATATTACACATGATACTTGTTTATATTAAATTATTTACTAATTATCATTAATATTTACAAAAATTACTACATAACTTAATTTATAATGACTTATTATAGATTACATCTTTATTTAATCGCCAAGGTAAACGTAAACGATTTTGCTATTGCAGCCACAGTGGCCGGGGTACAAATGAAATTGATTAGAGGTGGTATAAGGGAGCTGCACTTTCACGTTAGCTCCGAGTGGGCCTATGTGATCCAGGGCACTTGTCGTATAACGGCCGTTGATGATCAAGCTAGATTTTTTGTGGAGGATGTGAGTGCAGGCGATGTGTGGCTGTTTCCCGTGGGTATACCACACTCCATACAGGTAGAGTGACCAGCTACATGTTTTAATTTGTGTTTCAATTAATGATAGTTATTTTGTTAAAACAATGGAAATGGTATACAATTGACAAACAAATTGAATTATGATTTAATTTATTAAACTACTACCCATAACAGGGCTTAGGCAGTGACGGGTGCTTTTTTCTATTGGCGTTTAACGATGGTCAGTTTGATGATTTACAAACGTTCCAACTCACCGATTGGCTGCGACACGTGCCGCTAGACGTGTTGGCTAAAAACTTTCAAGTAGGTTACTAAACATTATTGCCAACATAAAGTTAATATAAAAAATATCACCTAGGTAAGACCGGAAACGTTTGACAACCTACCGCAGGACAAGCTGTATATATTCGCCAGTGAACTGCCCCGACCTCTAGCCCAGGAGAAAGAGATGGCGGCGGAGGGCACGGGTGAAGTGCCCCAAACGTACGCCTACTTCGCGTCGACCCAACCGGCGAACGCCACCCGATGGGGCGGTACGGCTAAGATCATCGACAAAAACAACTTCCCGGTGACCACAATCGCGGCGGCCATTATTACGCTCAAACCGGGCGCACTCCGGGAACTACACTGGCATCCAAACGCCGACGAATGGAACTACTGTGTGACAGGTAGAGTGACCAACAACAAAAAATTACAATAATAATTAAAAAAAATTGAATATTTATTTTTATATTTATTATTCTAACCAATATGCTCATTCTACTTCACAGGCAAAGGCCGTATGGGTATATTCAACGCCGACCTGAGCGCCACTACGGTTGACATCGAGGCCGGAGACGTGGGTTACGTACCGAAGATAACGCCTCATTATGTGGAAAACACCGGTACAAACGACTTGGTGTTTTTAGAGGTGTTTCCCACCGACATTTACCAGGGCGTATCGCTGGCCACGTGGTTGGCGCACACCCCTACCCGACTGGTTAACGAGCACCTAAACACTGGCGAGCGATTTTTGGCCGATATTCCCAAAACAAAGGCACTGATACGACCCTGGAATCGAACGTGGTATCCCAGTTACAGCATTAATAAGCAATCAGTGTCGCAATTTGGATCTGAGCAAGATCAAAATAAATAGTTTATATTAAATCAGCAAGATACGAATTTTTTAGTACGTTACTGTATCTGTAACCGTTTGAACGTAGAGTTTGTTAAATAATTTATTTTAAAATAAAACTTATTAATTAAGCACACATCATTTCATAGTTATAATTCCCATAAATTTCGTATACATAAAATTGTAAATTGTAAGTTTTTACAACTATTTAGCATTAATTTATAAGTTTATATATACGAAATT